CTCAATTTCGGCTAAAAGACTTGACAAAATCCTACACACTGTGCCTTTAACAGATTTTTAGTTAGCGAAGCCTAAGTTTTGCTTAGTTGTGCCCACTAATGACAAAACCCGTAATGTTTAATAATGGCAGAAACCTTGTTAAGTTCAGGATTAATCAATTTTATTAAAAATGAGCTGCCAATTAAAYTCACACTGTTGTCAACTGGAGACTAAAAAGTCAAATTGAAATTTGTCAGGTGAGTAAAACATGTTAAAGTCAAAAAGAAATCCCATTTAATCATACAAAAAAAGGACCAGAACAGACGACTTGATGTCAGGTAATTAAAGGCTGTTATTTGTTTCTCTTTTGACTTAATATTTCACTCTCTCGGCGTCTTTGAGCTCCCTTGAGATCCTTCTGAAAACAACATATCAAACTCTTCATGAGGCGAGCAAGGGGGAAAAAAGAGAAGTTGACATGCAGTATTGAGCTGTCAAGCCTTCAGTCTGGCAGATTACTGTTCATGCCTGAGCTGAATTGATGCATTATGAACAGGCTTTGGTATGAAAACAGCAGTCAGTTAGACAGCAACTTAAACAATCGCTCAGTAATGAGACAAACATACCTTGACGGCTCCATGATGGAGAACGAGCAAGCCGACGGAAGGCGGCTCAGTCAAACTGATTCATCTCCAGGCCTCTCAGAGGAAACTGAATGTTGTAGGTTTGAGAAATGTAAGTTTCAGCTCACATGTTGACTGTACTTTTTTTATCAATATGGTGCACTGGATTTGTACAGAGCACTGGCAGATTCATTTACTCAGAATAAAAAACAGTTTTGATAGCTAAACCAAAAATTAAACATTTACTCCATGGCAGTGCTATTCAAATTGCTAATAGGTGATGCATTGACTGAGATGATGAGAGAGGTGTGTGGTAATGGTAGGAGACACACTGCATTATGTAGAATAAGTATTATCTTTTATTTTATGTTTTATTATAAGGATCGGTCTGCTCACCCCCACCTCCCAGATGTAAAAGTCAGATGAAATGTGACAAGAGCGTTCAGACTGCAGTCACTTTAAAAAACATCAGATGTATTTGATTCAGTGCTACATACTGAAAAAAACTGGGTCAKATTTGAAAAAGTTGGATTTGTCGTGTTCAGATTGTCGTGAAAAAAAAATTGGCATGGGTCGCATGAGGCAAAATAATCAGATTTGGGTCGCATTTGCTTACAGTGTGGACATAGCCTATATGACACAGAATAAAGTGTCACCCCCAAATAAATAAATAAATAAATAAATAAATAAAAGACTGTCTAAGACAGGGGTGTCAAAGTACTTTTCACCAAGGGCCACTTGAGCATTGTACAGTTGTAATTAACTTTGCTTTAACACAAAACATCACATTCCTTGTTTCATTTCAATGGCTGAGCACTGCTACAAAACAATAACTGAGCTCTATATGGTATTTCCTGCATAGAAAAAGCATTTTAACACATCCCCATGTAAACCCTAAAAARTACTACTTGTACAGTTCACTGTTTCCATCAATATTTTTATGCGCRTTTTGAAGTATTGCTTTGGAAAAGGTTTATGGAAATGGCAAAATTCTAATAAACTTCCTCAATTTCGCTAAAAGGTTTCCACGCTTGCTTGAGCTGGTTTGTGGATTTTCCAAAGAAGAGTTAATGCACAAAAGGGCAGATGAAAACACATTTGCGCAATAAGTTCTGATGGAGCGAACATTTTACCTCACATGATTATCATTCCCACTGTTCGGTACCGGCTTCAGGTGGGCCCTGCTGTCAGCGTCTTCTCAGATATTCCCGTAACAGGAATTACATTTCTTTTTCTCCGTCTCCAGACAGCATGCAACATGGCCAATACTWGTTRATATGACAACAAATACAACTTGCCCGATAGCAACACATCCTGATAACTTCTCTCCATTGTCCCAAGATGTGTGGTCCCTGCTAGTTTGTGACCTCTTCTTCCTGTTTATTACAGCCGTGCATAACGTCATTGTCTGACATAATTACACTTTGCGTAGCCTGGTTGATTTACTCCATGCCAGTAGACGGAAACACACCTGGTTCGCATTATCCTTTTTGAAACATTTTAAAAGTTTGCTCAAAATTCACATTAAAGTTAGATGGAAACATTGACTAGATGTGAAATAACTTAATTACTGTTAAAAAATATGAGTCGTCTGTGAGTAGTTGCAGTAAATAGTCGCCATCTTGAATTCGGACTCGGAGTTGCTCCCACATTCAGACAAGAATTCCCACTGAGAAGGATGTTCCAGTTTAAATTCATGACTTGTACATGGGAAAGTCCCACTTCCCAGTACAACTGGGCCACAGCAAATGTAGCAGAAATGCAGTGAAATCGAGACTTGTCCATATGTGTAAATAAGTAATGCTAATAACGTTGTCAACACAAGAATGGCCCCAACTTCCTCAAAAGCACAGATATGGAGGTGAAGTTTATGCAGTAGCAGCCGAGAGTCATCCTCATTGCTTACTTTGAGCAAGAACACAACATGTGGCTGTGGCGGTCATCTCAAATTTAAACTTTGTCATGAAAGGCGGTGAGCAGTTTGCGTTTCCTTTTATATATTTCTGAGATTTTCATTAAAACCCAACCAGTGATCCATAAGATTCACCCCTCAACAAGAAGGTCCTGAGTTCAATCCCTGGTTTGGACCTGGGGTCTTTCTGTGTAGAGTTTGCATGTTCTCCTCGTGCTTGTGTGGGTTTTCTCCGAGTACTCCGGTTTCCCCCACCCCCAGAAACATGTACAATAGGTTGCCTTCAGGCCCAGTCCTCCCTTGAAAAAGAGATCTGTGATCTCAATAGGACTTGCCTGGTTAAATGATGGTAAATAAGATATTTTTTTAACAGGCATAGGAATTAACATGTGTACATATAAACAAGCAATTACAAGACCACTCATCTTATATATCAGGGCTATTCAACTGGTGGCCTGTGACCCATGTTTGGCCACGGGTGACTTCAGTCCGGCCCACCAATGAGTTCTTTAAAGAGGCAATATCACGTAGAATCAACTTTTTTGAGTTTTATATCATGTTATAATGTTATACTCTCATAAAAATATGCCCAAAGCCTTGCTTTGACTCATTCATGCATGTTTGAGAAATCCTGCAGTGTTTTTAGGAAGTCATGCTGAGG